TGTATTTGCATAAACCTTATTTTCAAATATTCAGTACACTTTATTTTTACTACCGGACTCGGCTGATACCTCACCCATCCTAAACCCCGCCCATGGGCGATGTTTCAAATAGTGGGCGATGTTTTGGTTCCACACATTGCCTGACTGAACCAACAAACATTTTTACAGACCCCAATTTCCCCGTCCGACATCATGTATCGAGCGCGATATTTCAAAAATGACGCTAAAATAATTCACTGTGAAGTTGAAAAGCATTAAAACTTCAATAAAACAAATGCTGTATACGAATCGTTGTTGTGTATTATGACTTGTTAAAATACATTTCACTTACGTTTATTACACTCGAATAAAGTCTACGCTTGAAAAGAATGTTATTTACGAAGTTTAAAATATCTAAGCTTTCCGGATTCAAGCCTCTTGGTTGCTATCAGAAATGTTTAATCTTTGTCTGTATCGCATTCCAGACAAAATGACGGTAAACAAGAAATGGGCGAACTAACTTGCCTTCTGTGTTTCACATGCGACATGATTATTAAAACACCGAGTTAAGCAGTCATGTACGTTATATAAATCTAACCTTGTACACATAATCTTGTACTGACGTGTTTTTTGTCCAAAAATGACGTTCCCTTTTAGTTAACCCCCAGTTAACTCTTCGCGTTCATGGTATTTGTGAGAGTTGAAAGATTTTTTGAACACATGACAAGTAACTATATTGATTTGCGTCAAGCTGGATGGCCCGAATTTAAATATCAGTGCGTGAACTCTTGAGGTCATTGCCCAATGCCGCACGTAATTCAAACGCGTGGTTATTAGAATTCAGTCGAAATGTACGTGAATATTGTGATTGAAGTGCGCTGTCCAGAGTTTATTACATTATAGTAAAATTTAATTTAACACATGGTATGGTTTATATTACATGTTCACTTCATTTCGAATAAAAAAATCACCATTGGAACATCGATAAATCACAAGTATTTAAAATATTTTCTCGACTTTCCGTAGACACTTTACTACTATCATTTTTAATGATTTAAATGCGCCCATGTTTATGTTTGCGTAATTATTACGAATGCAACGCATTATCAAGTCGGTGTATTGAAATATTCACAGACCCAATACCCCGGGTCAGCATCCTAACAATAGTAAAAATTAACTTGAGTTTGCGTAATTATCATGAAAGCAATACATTACAAAGTTGAAATATTCAGAGCTGGTACAATATTTTAAACAAATTTGCGTAATTAGAAAAGCAGTGCACTAAGTAAACAACGTTGATATATATTCAAAGCCAGTACAGAGTTGCATACAAGTTACAGTACCGTTGGATATAATAACAATTTTACTAGATCGACGCGCGGACCACAAAAAAAAAAAAAGGTTGCTAAAGTAACGCGCCAGTTCAGTGCGTGACTTGGGGGTCAAACTTCGGTCAACACACACTTGATGCCAGCATCTCTCACAATGTATAAAATACTT